TTTTTTTTTCTCGCGCTCGTTAAAGAACAACTACGAGATAACTCGGTGAAGAAAGTGGCTGTCGTTTTTCGGACGAACCACTTCGTCGAATGCAAGCTTCCGAGTCGCGCCGCCCTCGCAGAGGAACTTTTTCACTTGGATCGATCCATCTTCCTGATCGAGTATCTGGGACTACTAATCTTTTCGTATCGCCTGTTCCCGTTGGAAAAAAAGGAAAAAAGGAAAAAAAGAAAGCGAGGGAATGAACTCCTGGGCAAATGGGGGGGAAAAAAATTGACTCTGCAGCTACTGAATTTCAAAGGGACGAGACGTCGATTAGCTGATTAACAGCTAATTCCATTAGTTCAATATAATAATGACAAATTGCACGTTCAAAACAGCGTGGTGTAATTTATCTCACGATGAACCTTCTTCTGCTTTCAATTTTAATCGATTATATCGATAATTTTCGTAACTATTGATGACGAATTGATACTTTTCATACAACAAATACACCAGATATTTTTCTTTTTAATCTAGAAGTTAACTTCCTATCGAAAGAAATTTTACCACGATTCTGTATAATTGCTGAATTTTTTTTATTATTTTGCGTTTTCCTTACGAATTTGAATTGCGCAATTTGTCTTACAAATCAATCCTCCAATTTTAATTTCTTCTTTTTTTTTTTATCTTTCATTTACTGAAAATTAGAATATAAGTTTTATTTGTGATTGCAGGAAAACCTTCAAATTTCACGTCATTGTCAAATTACACATGAAAGATGTGTATTTTTATTACATTTATTATGTGTATTTTTATTATTTGTGTTACACGGTATAAAGAATATCGTGTATCCCGTTACTTAGGAAAGATCTTCATACTCGGGCAATAGAGAACCGGTTTTATTTTATTCTGAACCATAATGATAGCAATCTTATGAAGCCTTCGAAGAACAATTCTCAATAACAATTAACAGTTACAGTTTAGTATACAAGGCATATCAGAAACAATAGCAATATACAACATCCATCATAAATAGTACCGTCTTTCATAAGTTTTGTTACCATTACGGTTAAAGATCAATGATCCCTCGGAGAGTGTGCCTGATGGAAAAATAGGAGAAGTTCGTTGTTAATTCATTATGTTTATAACTCGTTGTTCTGAATTTCCAATCAGCGATCAACTTTAGTTCTTTCGGGATAACCATTTCATCGAGCCGCAGTTCTTCTTGGAAATCGTGACAAACAATCAACGTGAATAAATTTCTCTACATCTCTGATCTAACCAGCAATCAAGCATTGTGACTCAGTGTTTTCTCCAACCAATCACTCGATCGCAAAAGCTACGTCGAGGTCCAACCTTAATACACTAATCAAACTTATCTCCGTAACTGTTGGTAAGGAAAGACAAACATCGAATCGCGCGTCG